TGGTATAAAATTTTTATGTTCTATACCTATAGAATTTTTAAAATAATGAGAATTTAACAAAAATTTTACAGATTGTTCTTATATATGTTGAAAGACTTAAGACAAAAGCCGGAGTTGATTTACTGAAGCAATCCAAAGTTACAAGGATTTTAATTTGAATTTTTTGGTTAGATTTGGCCATAGAATTTGAAAATTCTCAAAAAAAAGCAACAGAAGCATTTTTGCGCTCTAGTTCTGAATAAATGATAACATTCTGTATAATCCTTATTACTCAAACTATATGAGAAGAGCATATTCGTCAAAATCAGTTCTTTAACTTTTTGCTACTATTGTAGGTACCAAACATCCTTAAAAACATTTTACAAGATACTTCCACATAACTCTGCATCGGAACAAAAAATAATTTATCAATGACTACTTAAATTGATCAGCGCATTTGATTAGCCAAAACGACCCCGCTACGGATTTAATTGTAAGAGCCATTAACCTTTTAGAAGAAAAAGTGATCTAAATCTGCACGAAATATAAAATGTAAAACAGTACCGATTTAACAGGGGGTGGGGAGGCTAAGGGGATAGTAATCCTGGACCCCATCTTTCTATCGAGCCCCTTATAAGCTTAAAATTATTAATTTCAATAAAAAATAAATATCGATCCACAATGATATTAAACTATCGTCATTTGGCATTATTATAAGCAACAGAAAGTGAACTGCTGAGAGATCTTGATTTTAATGATTTAATCAATGAATTTGCGTACAATAAATCAAGAAAAAAAGTTTTAAGTATCACTGTAATTTCAATAAAATGTGAATTATTTTTATGTGTTTACTTTTCAGTATTCAGAATTTTGTCTTGTACCTTTTAAGTAGAAACGACAAAAGTCATACAGGTAATCACGTTTTTCAAATAGCAAATGCAAATTATGTATGTATTTAAATCATTGTTATTATTTAATAATAAGAGGGTTCCATTTTAATATTAGTTCCTGGGCCAAAAATATCTTAAGCTGGCTCTGATTGTAAACTTATGTAAAAACATGAGTTTACAACTTCTTACGTGAAGGGCGGGCTGTTTCATACAAGTTTCTACGCGAAGTGAGATTTAATTTAAAAAAAATTCGATTTTTGTCAGGCATATATTTTTCGGATGCAATTTCTTTCTCTTCTCCCCTCCTCGTCCTTGAGCACACTTGTATACTTATAAAATAGCAGCAAAAAAAATCTAATATTCTTAAAACTGTATATTAAAATTAAAAATTGACAAAATTATAATTATATATTTGCATAATTTATATTAAAATATATGAAATTTCTTTTCAGAGATGCTTGACGCCAAAGTTAAAAAACATAAGGTCTCCAAGAAAACAAAAAAATCTTGGAGGAAACACATTGATATCAAAGATGTAGATACATTTCTTGATAATAAAAGATTAAACGAACGATTGGGTGTTCCTTTCTCTGAACGCACAGATACTCAATTATTTACTATTGACAAAACTGCTGATGTGAAAACTGGAAATGCAATTTCTAAGCATACTGCTAGATTAGCATTACAGAATAAAGAATCAAGATGTTTTGCTTCCTTAAAACCTCATACATGTGTCCCTGATCCAATTTCTAAAAGAAACCGAATAAAAACTAAAGAAGAACGCATAAACCCTGTATTTTGTCAACGTGAAGTAAAAAGGCAAATGAAGGGTGTTCTTAAGTTAAAAGAAAAGGAAACGCTGAAGAATAGAATTCTTGCAAAAGCTACTTTATCAAATCGTCCTGGGAGAGAAGAGATAAAAGATGATATATGGAGTAGTATAAATATGTTATTACCAGAAACAGTGACTGAATGGATGTCTTCAGATAGCATTAGACATACGATTAATCATTTGGGAACAAAGAAAAGAAAATTACCATTGCGTAAAAAACCATCCATTTTATCTGCAGTGGAAACTCCACATCCAGGTACATCTTATAATCCATCTTACAATGATCACCAGGAATTATTGCACAAAGTTGCACAGAAAGAATTGGAGCTTATCAAGCAAGAAGAACATTTGGACAGAGTCACAAATCAAATGTTTAAAAAGGTAAATTAATTATGATATATATTACTATATAAATTCTAGTTTTTATCCTATTATAAAATTATATTTATTCTTTTTTATGTGCATCTAATATGATTTTATATTAATCCTACTTTTAATAAATAATTTTTTTGTATTACTAATATTAGTCTTGTTAATTTCTAATTTTTGAAATTATTTTCTTGTACTTTATATTTTGAATATTAATTTATAATACTTAATTATTTGTTTAGATTTCACTACAGAAAAGAGATGAGAATATGATAAAAGAAATGTCAGAAGGTTTGCCAAAGAATCAAACCATATCAAATTGTAAGTCTATTGAGGAAGACCGGGACAAAGAAGATTTACCCATTGTAATAACAAATGGTAAATCTATAAAGAATATTAAAAAAACACTTGTGCAAAAAAGGAAACAACGAGAACAAAAACAAGCAACTAATGAACGTGCATTAGCTAAACTGGAGAAAAAAAAAGTTTCTGACATCTATAAATTAAAAATTTTGCAAAAGCAGATAGAGGCGAAGGAGAGAAAGCAAGAATTCTTGCGACAGAAACGAATAGACAAACATGAGAGAGAATCTCTTATGCCAAAGACTCTAAGTAAGACAAAATTTGAACCCATTGATCCTGATTTTCAACTTGCAGAAGAACTGACTGGCAATTTGAGGAGTTGCACACCTTCTAAAAATTTGTTGAAAGAACGATACAAATCGCTCCAACACAGAAACATTATTGTACCAACTGTTATAAAATTGTAAGTATAAGAAAAGTATGAATTTATTATAATCTAGAATAGAACAATTTGGCGGAATTTGATTAAGGAAAGGATTTCAGATTAGAAGGGGAAAAGAGAATTAAAAAATTCAAATTTGAAAATTATTGATAGTTATTTTTGACATTAATAAGTTATTAATAAAAGATGCAAAAGATGATTTTTACGGAAAACTGATTTTGCATAAATTACTCTGATCTGTAAGATATAATGTAGTTTTTATCTTAAACCAATGTACATGTATGTGTGTGCGTACACACACACACACACACACACACACACACACACACACAACAAC